TCGAGCTTTATAATTTGTTTTAACTTTCTCTCTTTAAAGTTATCTCAATATCTAGATCAAAGTTACGAATTTGACAAATTAGATCAGGTTCAATTAGTGGTTTTTTTTTAAAAAAAGATTATTTTGCTCTAGATGATGACTTGGGTCATGTATTTGGTGCATTAACTCATGTTGTTTTTTATGTTCTATTTTAATTGATTTCTTTTTTAATCTCATCCTTCAATATTAGATTGATTTGAGAACGAATTTCATAATTTATTTTGATTTACTTTTCATGGGATTATCTTAGTCTTATGAATCAGATTGCAAATTTAACATGTTAACTAGGGTAGTTTTTTAGATTTTTTTAATTGATTTATTTTTCAATTTTATCTTTCAATGTTGACTTAATTAAGAATTAGATTTCATAATTTATTTTGAATTGTATTCTATAGAGTTATTATAGTCTTATAACCCGGATTACAAATTTGATATGTTAATCCAGGTTTTTCTAAGTCAATCCAATATATTATTATTTTAATATTAAAAAAGCATATTATTTTAAAATCTTATTTAGTCAAATATTATTTTTATGAGTTGTATAAGTTGTTTTTTTATTAGTAAAATCAATCAAGTAAACTCTTACATGATTTATTTTTTTATTAGAAAAAAAAAATACTAATATTGAAATAAAAATTAACTTGGCTCCCAATATATGCATAATCTAGTTGGTTTTACAAAAGAGAGAGCCATGGTAAGAAACTACAAGGACACTGCTATCACATAAAATGTCTCTTTCATAAACCCAAAAGAAAGGGTCATTTTCACACGTTAATTGCCTAATAATGTTTCAATGTCTGCCAAAAGTTAAACCACCCAGATCTTAGGGCTAGAATTCATGATTTTGACATGTAATCTAACATATTAAACTCCATGACCTCACATTGTGGGTGACAATATACTGTTGGTAGGTTCTTTTTAGAGGGTTCTTTTTTTTTTTCCTTGCCCATCCTTCACGCTCTATTTGTTTATTAGATGCCTCGTGTCGTATGTTTTACTTCAATTATAGATTTAAAAATATTTAATTAATTGGTATACATTATAGTTTTGCCAAACGTAATATTTTATAAAAAAAATATACAAGTAGGGTGTTTCACCTTAAGTAAAGAATTCTCACTTTTTGTGAGCTGTTCTATATTGTTAAACGTTCATAAAATCTTTTAAATATATGGTTTGGCACAACTCTATGATAAAGATATTTCCAATTTGATAAAGTATGAAATGAAGACTTGAAAAAATTAAATATGCAATCAACATGAATTCTTTTTTTAAAAAAAAAAAAAACAAGAGAAGAATCGAATATTTTTCTTTGTTACGCTTTTCTAAGAGTACATACTGTTCCTTGACAGTTTATTAATCAAATTCAAGAAGCAATCTTCTGCTGTAATAATTCCATAGTTAAATCTTAAAAAATCATTTAATTAATTACATTTTAAATTTATTTTTTAATGATTATAAATTCAAGTTATTTTATAATTATTTAAAATTTACATAGTTGTTAATTTTAAAATTCATAAAATTAATCAAGATATACATAAACTAACTTAAATATCCACATAAATAATAATAATAATAATAATAATAATAATAATAATAATAAACAACTCCGTGATTAATTGGATCAAAATTACCAACCATTTCTTTGTACTTGCTAACTCCTACAAGAAAATGGCAAAGTCTTTCTTTAAAGTTTTAACTTTTTATGCAAATGGTATTAAAAAAGACACGTCTATATATATGTATATATAGGAATAAACGCATTGGAGAAGCGATCATATATATATATATATATATATAGGAATAAACACATTGGAGAAGCGATTTAAATCAGTAATTCAAAGATTGAGACCTCGCTGGGCGCTGCAATGATGGGTTTTGAATGATTCAAAAGACTGTAAGAAAATAAAACCATTTGTTTTACCTGTCAAACCTAATCATCCTCACGAAAGGATTTGGTCCGCAAGTCAGTTTCATGTCTGAATGAATAATGCTCGTCGCCATATCTCAAATCTTATTCCATGCCAGTATGTCTGAATTGTTCAATCATGACTTTCCACTGATTAAGAAAGATTAACTTAATTTACACACCATGTCTTAAATTACTTTCCAATTCTACCACTTATTTTGTTAATTATCGATCAGTTTAAAAATGGATTAAAAATATATAAAGATTAAGTATAATGTTTCTGAAATCATATTACTCCATTAAGTTATAATTAAATCTTTTCATATATGATAGTTTGTTATGATAGCAGTTGTTATTGTAGTAATAATTAATTCTTAAAGTATTTTTTTTTAATATATTAAAATAATATTTTATTTTTTAAAAAATATTTTTAATGTTAATATTTTAAAACGATTTAAAAATATTAATTTTTTTAAAATCAAATATAAAAAATGATGACACCACAAATACAAACATACCCTATATCAATATTATTTCTGGGATTAGGGAATTGTTCTTCCTAGCGGTTTGGAGTATGAGATCTTTTTTAATAGTTGAAGTTGTTTAATTTTATTTGATATTGAGATTGAATCTTATTTTTATCATTTTTTTTAAAAAAATGTTTTAAATTATTATGTTCTAGTGTTTTAATGTTAAAATTAATATTTAAAAAATATTATTTAAAAATATTAAAAAGTAATAATTTAAAAAGTAAGCTCCACATGATAATTTTTTATATCAGATTACTCTGTTTCCATTTAAGATCCAATGAACCAAAGAATACATCCGCAAATGCTGACGCACCGAACTGTCACTCGATTCAAGAAAAGAAAAGAAAAACCCTTGCAACGGTCCGTTCTGCTTATGTCACGTCAACAAGCAACAAACCTTCCAACGGCACTTTCTGCAAGTTGCTCTTCTCATGCGTGACAATAAACACACTTGAATGATTGATGGTGGCGACCGTGATTGCGATTTAAATGTTTATTTGCTCTAAATAATTAATAACAAAATGATTATTATTATTATTAAAACTATGACCTTCGATTTTAATTCAAAATATTAAAGCATTTCTTTTTTTAATTTTTTTAAATAATTTAATTTTTAATTTTTAAATTAATATTTTTAAATATTTTTAAATTATCTTAATCCATTAATATTAAAAATAACTTTTTTTAAAATAAAAAATATTATTTTAATATATTACTAAATAAAAATTACTATAAAAAATATCAACACTCGTTTGCATCCTTTCTTTTAACCCGTATGAATTCAACCTACAAATGACGCTACATCTATATTCTCTGATGAGTTGAGTTCCAAGAATTACTGTGTTGAAGGCACGTGTCGTGTTTCATATGGTAAAAATCTTAATACCTGGAGAGACCATCATGGCCCACCACCATAATCTTCGTTAGAACGAGGCCACCAATTGAATTAGAAATCTTAATTCTTTTACTTTTTATTTAGAAATTATTTATATTATATTTTATTACAAGGTTTATCTTTTCACTAATCATATTGAATTTTCAAGCGATGCCATTTTTTGAGCTACTTTTATGACGATCCTTGCGGGCAAAGAAATTGTGCTAAGTAATTTTTTTGCATTCGTGGTAATCAAGAGTAAATTTTTTTTTTATTCGTGGTAATCAAGAGTAAATTTTTTTTAAAAAAATATATCTTAAAAAATTAAATCTTTTTTATATATTGATACAAAAAATAAATTTATTTTTTTAAAAAATATTGCTTTCAAATAAAAAAATACTATAAAATTTTTTAATAACCCACGCACTATAAATTAGGGCAAATCTTAAATTCTGTTGCTGAGCAAGGGGTAGACCTTCAGTTAGAATTTATTGTCATTTTCGTCAAATATGCGTGCTTGTAGTGGGGGAAGTCTTCAAACAAGGAAAGTTTCATTGATACAATAAATAGGAAATTAAAGATCACAAAAGAGCAATGGTATGTATATTAAGAGGATCTTGGAGACGTTGTATCCCGCGTGCCATCAAGATCACCATCGCCCTCCGTACATGCATCACGCTGTCAAGCTCTTGCTGAAAGGTCTCAGGCTCCACCACTTCACTTCCGGTAGTACTGTGCTGTACTAGCATTGTGCACAGTGATTCTGGGATTTGTGCTAATTCTGCGAAACCGGGATTGGAAGGAGGTGCCAAGCCACCGTTGCGTCTTTTGCCCCTTCCATGACCAGAGCATGTCCCTGATAGACTGGACCCAGCAGACAAAGTACTGGGGATATAGCCTCTGCTTCCTTATCCAGAGCTTCTTAATTTGTCGAAGAAGAAGAAGAAGAGAAGGAAGGAGAGTGGGGAAAGAAGAGAGGCTTCTAGAAGGGAAAAAAGGGGTGTTTTTGAAAGATTAAAAATGAATTTCTTGAGCAAATTAGAGGGATTTGTTTTTATTGTTTTTTATTTAGAATTCAGATTAATACCTTTAAAAGATCTCAAACACAGAAATTAATTAACTAAATTTAATTCCCAGATTCGATGAAGTTGAAGATCAGAAGATCTTCCCGACAATAAAGGAGTGGTTTCTGTAATGAATGTTACCCAATTGTCTCCCTTTATCTTTTAATTGCTTAAAAGAGATTAAATAAAGCTTACAAGAGATTAAATAAAGCTATCTGCACACATTAATAAACAAAAGATGGGATTAGCAGGCATGAGTTGAGTTGCTTGCGTTGTAGACAAAATTAATCACATGATTACTATATATTTAGTCTAGGAAATCTCTCAATTCTTGATAGAATCACAAAATACAGAAGACTTTGTATTTGGAGTAACCAATTAAAACATCTCAAGTCATATTTATTCATATATGTTAGCATTTACAAAAATACTAACATATATTTATGTGTGATAGAAAGAGATTAAGCAACTACTCTAGCATATAGTATCGATCATATTACAGTGATAAAAATAGTGTCCACTCTGAAAGAGTAGCCAAGCTTTTTTTTTTCTTCTATAAATTGAAAGAAGAAAAAAAAAAGAAAAAAGAAAAAAGAAAAACGTGAGCACACCGCCAATTTAATTAGCCATCAATTCAATACAGACCCTGCAAAGTTGCTCGAAATCAAGCTCTCCAGGCCCAATAACTGATCGGAGAACTCCCCACACAAGTCGAGTGGTGGATACACCCATCCATGGCCATCGACCGAGTCAAACAACATGAACTCAATTCGTGACTGATCAGGAGAGTCATAGCTCCCTTCTATATTCGGTAACTCCACGATTTCACTCAAGTACTCCTCGGATTCAGCCACATCTTCAGACACCGTCACCGATGATGACGACAGTGACGAGGACGGTGATGGTGAATTAAACTCGACCATGGCAGCAGCTTTCGCCGCGGCTGACTGAATGTCACGTGGCATTACAGACACTGGGCGTGGTAATGAGTCCGCAAGTTCTGGAAAATTTAAAATGGCAGAGTCACCTTTAATACACAACGCTGCCACATCGTGGGCACGCGCTGCCATTTCTGGCGTAGGGAATGTTCCGAGCCAAATACGTGATTTCTTACGAGGTTGACGGATTTCTGACACCCATTTGCCCCAGGCTCGCCTTCTAACACCCCTATAAACTGGGTGTTTGCTGCTGTCTCTGACCTTTGATCTTGAGCTTTGCTGAATTGGGTTTTGTTTATTGAGCTTATTGGTAATGGTAGTGGCCAGGGACGGTGGTGGTGGTGGTGGTGGTGGTGGTGGTGAATTACATGTTGAAGTTCTTGAGCTAGTGCTTTCTTCACTCATCTCTGGAACGCTAATCTGTGGACTGGTTTGAGAACTGAAGGGTGGAAGAGACGGGGTCAGTCTGAGGCAGAGAAGAACAATAAAAGAGGGGGTTTTTGTAGAGAGAACTTGTCAAAGCAAGATGTACGCTCATTATAATGACCCGCAACCTAACATCCCAGTGGCTCGCAAGACAAAATTGAGAGATGCCAAAAATATATTGGAAAAATGTAAATCAGAGAGAGATTTCCCCGCAAGAATGAAATGGAAGAACAAGAGGACTGTGGGACCCGGTGAAGAATGGACAAGTAAAGATATCGGAGTTGACCCGTCTGATTGAATGACTTAAGTTTGTCCAGTTAATTTATTAAATTGAAATAAATGATAATTTTTTTTTGCAATTAATTAAATATTGAAGATGTTAAGTAATATAATTAAAAAAATAGATAAAAAAAACTTTAATTAATTAAATTAATCTATCAAATTTATAATAAAGTAATAAAACTAAAATAACTTAAAAAACACAATAAGTCAATCTCTAATAAAATAAGGATTATAGGTTGAGTTTAGAAAAAAAATATATTAAAAAATACTATTTGTTTAGAAAATAATTAAAATATTTTGAGTATAATTTAACTAAAATTTTCAGAACAGACTGAGATCATAAACAAAATGAAGTTTATAAATGTTTTATGTTTTTTAATGTAAAAAGATATTAAAAAAACAAAAAAAAACAATATTGAATCGTGCTTTTGTACCAAATACACACAATTCGATTAAGTTTTTCACCCTTCTCCATTCATTTGACCACGTCTTACTTGTTTTGTCCGTTAGGCTAGTTGAATTGTTTGCATGATGTTGTGTGACTTTACTGTTCTATTTTTTTTTCACCTTTTTGTGCAGCAATCACAACCTTTCTTACCACTTCAGTTCGCATTGGGTAAAGTTGCTCGGAGGAGGAAACAAAGAAAAGAAGCAAGCTTCTTCAATTCTGTAAAGAGTTGAATGCTAACCTAGGTGTAAAAAATATCAAACCCGCCCGGAATCGACAAGATGACCGAGTGACCGGGTCTCTGGTTTAATGGGTAATATGTTGGGCAGGGTTACGTGTTCTTCAAGGCTCTCATATCGTACCTTGTCCTCTATATTTTGGACAGGATGCAATCCTGTGCTAATTTTATGAGTGACACCAACCACATGACAAAACTATTCTCTCTGCAAAAGTTAACATAGCATGCTTACACATAAATGGTTAGTGCAAAATTATTTTTCTTGTTAATAGCTATCTCTTTCAACATGCCTTCTCAAAGAATGTTTATTTTCTTGTTTATAGCTCCAACTAACTTGTTTTTTTAAAGGACACCAACATTCCATGTTAATTACCCCTCCGTGCCAACCTTTCCACGAGGCATAATAATGAATAACTCATTTTTTCAAGTTATATATAGGAAAAAATAATTATTTTTTATCATTATTTTACTCGTTATGGGATAAGTTCATGTGAACGAGGTGTAAAAATATATTGGATGACCATGTAAACTTACAAGATAAAACATAACCCCACTAAATAATTACATATACACTTCTTATGCTCTTCATTCACCTTTTTTTTCCTGTATATTATTTATTACCTGTAGGATTGAAGGAGAAATGAAGCCTTAGTGGATAGGTAAGAGTTAGCTTTTATGTTTGCAAAAAGTGACGAAGAAGAAAATAAAAATGATGAAAATATGAAATTGTGCTCTTTTTTACCTCGTGGTTCATGAATCTATTATTTATCTATCAACCACGCCAACTTATATGAAGAAAAAGATAGAAAGGAGAAAAGACTTTAACACCTAATGTACTAATAAAGGTAATGATTTACTATTAGGAATGTGTATACTTAATGGATGGTTTATAGGGATGACGAATGTAATAAAAGTTAAGTATTTTTTTTATGTAGTCCTAGCCTTAGATGTCATAAGGACAAGAGTGCTTGAATGCGTACCATTATCAGTTTGGACGGGATCCCAAACCTAAAATAGATTCTAATAATTTGGGGGCAGTTGGGTCAATGAGGTCTTTTGTTGCATATGAACACGCGATGTTAGGAGGTCGTTGGAGTTGCCCCTAGTTGTTTGATTCAGGATTGTTAGGCAACCCAAATGTACTGGTTTTATTAGAGATTTGAAGGCAAATGACTGGTTGTGAATAGGAAAGGTATTAATATTTATATCACATCCTACCTGAGATAAGCTATTTTGTGTGGTTTTGAATATGGTTTAAAGGTTTTGATGAGTTCCTAACCGATAATTTGTTTATAGTTTAGGATCAATTTTTATGCATGTGAATAAATCTAGTGTTAAGAATTCATTATGAGCTCGTGTACCCAAATAAAATTTTATAAAAAAAGTTTTTGTAATTATATATTATGATGAAAAATACTCTCAATTAAAATTGATAAATATTTAAAATAATTTTGAGAATTTTCTAGTTAACTTCTTTCAAATATCAGCCTTACTTGTAGGTTTAATATTTTATACCAAAATATTAACTATTAATTCTCATGAATTAAAATTTTGATTATTGAAATATTGGTCAAAATTTCAAGTATATAGTAAACTGGTTATTAAATCCTAAAATGCATGTAAATATGTATTTTGAATTTTCATATGAAAATATTAAACAATATATTTTTTATATTCTTAAGACATTTGACCGTATGCAACATACAAAAATATTTTTGTTGTATATTTTGTAGACTTGAAATAAATAAAAAAAACTTAAAAACATTTAAAGAGGTTTTGTTAAATACATCGTCAAGCTTAGAAATTCAAAAACAAATCCAAACAAAGCCTAGAGACAAAAGTTTTTTACTTGATTAGTTCAATATGGATGGATTGACCAGACCAAGTCGACTTAAAAACAAACCAACAAAAGAAACCAAAACTGAAACAAATCAAACTTTACAAAAACATAAAAACTTGAAAATCTTTTAATCAAAACAGATCAAATACATAAAAGACCACAAAAAAAAACATCCATCCTCATTTTGTAAAACGCAACTCTCAATCTAGACCAAATCTTGAACCAGAAGGGGGCGTGATTTTGTTCGCAATCATATATAAAACAAGAGTCAGGGGCTTATTTGCTTTAATGATTAACAAATTAACATGATTTTGCTAAAATAAATTTTTATTCAAAACCAAACTTTGGGATTAAAATCCACTAAAACCCTATTATTGGTGCGAAAAACTCTTAGATTACTTACTAACAATGATAGATGAACTTGTGTAAACTAGAATTTAATCAAAATAAGCTCTCAAACTAGTACCTAACGCACTATTCATTGGATGAATCTATAGAAACGAAACCTTGTAGACCAGAAAAACTCAAAAAACTAAAGCAAACCTATAATGGATATTTTAGGCTTCCTATGCATGCTTCCCTTATTCCCCTGTACCACGTTATCAATAATGAATATATTTGTAACTAAAGAAATAACAAGAACATAAACAAAACTAAAACATGCATTGATTATCAAATCCAAAAATTGCTAACCCGAAGCAAAAAACATACTTGAACAATCTGAGCTTTAAAATCCAACCTTTTCATCCCTAAGGACCTAACAAGCAACCCAGAAAACAAAAAATGCTCTCCAACAATAGAAAATAAGCATTCATTTTACTGCCACTTTTGACATTTATTAAACCAAAACAAACATATAATACAATATGTAAAACCAATCAATAACATATCAAAACATTCAAAACTTTACATTGAACACAAGAGATCAATCCAGCAGTTCTCATAGACTCCACCTTTAAGGTTTGAAGTGTATACCTTTTCAATTTAGAAATCTTCAAATCTAAATTGATTTTATTGATATTGCCCTCATTCTTCTTTATCTTCAGATCTCTCTGGATAAAGTTGCAGCTTTCAAGTTCTTTTTTATTGAATTACTTGCCCTTTAGCCAAAGTTTCTCTTTTTTTTTTCTCTCTCTCTTTTGCTTGCTTTCACCTCTTTTTTATCTCTCTTTGCTTTTGGATCCCTTTCCTTTTATAGTCAAATTTAGGTTTTCTAGTTGGATTTGTTACAGTTCTAACAGATGAAAACCTACCTGATTTTACCATAGAACCAATGGTTTTGGGTTTCGGTGATTTTATAGAAAACTTGGAGACCAAGATGAGATGTTTTCTACCTTTAAATCTAGAGAAAAGTATTAAATCTTTGATGGGAACCTTCCAGGGGTTTCTAAGTGATAGCACAAAAAAAAGTTAAGTGGCTTTATGCAAATAGGTGTTCCTGTCAAAGCTGACTAGGTTAGTCACTTTCGTAGCTTCCTTAGAGCAACTTCAATGTTAATCGGATCCATTCTTGGTAGAGGGGTGCACAAATTTCGATCGAATCCATTTTTCTTGATTTGAAGTCCTGTAACTCTATATTTAAATGTTTGAAAGTGCTTATTCAAACAACGTAATGATTGAAACTATAATATTAGCTAACTAAGAACAAGATGTTGTGGAGATTAATGAAGAATATGGGATGTAAACATTTGATTTTAAAGATATAGGGTTTTAGAGGGGGTGTTTCTCAGTTGAATGATGGTGGTTGCAGCCTTTGAAGTGGTTAAAAACATCACATTCATTCACTAGAAAGTGCCTACTCGTTCAACAAAAAATTGAATAAGAAGATGCACAATACCTTGAATGGCGCCATTTTGGCTAATCCCTACAAATCAGGCTTTTCTTATTTGGGATCTGGCCATTTTCAATTTGATCCCTATTCTTTCGATTTCGCTTGATTTTACATAATTTCCTTTTAACTTTCTAATTTCATGCAATTGCATCCTTGTCAGATTTATTTGACAACTCTAATTTTGGGCGTCTTTTACTAGTTAATCGTTGGTCTCTGATTTGTTCAATTAGACCCCTAAATGACCATTAAACTTTCAATTTTTTTTTTCTATTTGACCCTTGATTTTTCTTGATTCCAGTCCCTAAAGTCACATGTGTTTTGCAAGTTGATCATTGGTTCATAAATTGTTCAATTAAGTCTTTAGTTGCTTACCAGACTTTGAATTTTATGCAATTAAACTCTTAATTTGACCAATTAAACTTTTTAAAATCTAATTTTGATCTCTAAATTTTATTTCTTTCAATTGACATCAAAATTGACTCCTAAAAGTTGATTTTCTTTGCGATTAAGCCGTCAATAAATTTAATTAAATTTTTTAAAATTTAATTGAGTCCTTAAA